TAATACTTTTGAAATGGACTAAAAATTAAACTTTTTCTCGGGACCAAAAGATTTTGTGTAAGTACACAACCTGAAATATCCATTAAAGTCAGTGACTGAAAATGTTGGGCACCAAGGTTTTAATTGGTAAAAATATTTTATAAAGCCATGAAGACCGCTAAATAAAAAAATTTACCGTGGTGCCCCATAGGTCGCGGCTCCCGGGACAGCTTGCCCCGGCTGTCCCCCCTCCCCCTAGAAATGGCCCTAGCTGATTCAATATGGGAAAAACTGTTGGGTTGTTGATGATGTAGAATGATGTAGCATGTGTACGATACAAAGATGTAGCATGCCGAATCTCAATTTTCAATAAATTTTTTATTCATATTGGTATACAAAATATACTTTGTATACCGATATGTATAAAACATTTATTGAAAATTCAGATTCGGCATGCTACATCTTTGTATCCTCAAAGACAAATTACAAGATACAAAAATTATTTTTAAAAGTGATACACAAACCTTCATACTTTAGTTTGAGTGCTGTTTGGGCAGCTATCTTGAATATTTACATTAATTTTTTTTTTCACTTAAATAAAATTATGAAAAATTAATTGCTTGACATGAAAAACATAACACTTGACACAAAAATTTCAATTTGATCAACAAGCTAAGAAATTGAACATTTTCTTAGTTTGTTGATCAAATTGAATTTTAACAACCATTTTGTTTTTTTATTAAACTAAAAAGGTTAGAAATTATTTTTTTGACCTCATAAAACGAAATAGTAGACACAAGAACCATGTTTCTAAGTGATCTACAGGCTCAGCTATTACAAACTGTAATTTGGATGCCATCTTGGACGCCATCATGGATTTTAGATAAAGCTCCTTTCCAATTTCTAATATGAATTCTAATATGAATCAGGAGTGCATACAGAACATTTACAGCAATTCTTCAGCTTGCTGCTAATTTTTTCCGGGTCAAATTCTAACTTGACTGGCCTAATATGCAATGAGTAAACATCTATTCTCAGCGATCTATTGTCAGCAAGTTTCAATATTTAAAACTTGCTGACAATAGATTTTATTTCTTGAAGTAAAAAATAAAAGACTTTTTAATGAATATTAGATCTTATCTTTTATTATTAACATTTATTCTAATCAATTAAATTATTTTTAATTTTCTTTAAATTCTTTTCTTGCAAACATCTTTAATTGGGTTTTTCAAAAGGGACAGGAGTATGTTAATACAGCCGAGTCTAATTAAACTTTTTAAAATATTTTTGAACATAGATGATTTCTTGAGGTTCCCCTTTACACAAAATTTTAAAGGGTCCTAAAAATAGTGAAAAATGTTTTTCAGAATAATGTCGACCGGATACTCAAAAGATGCAGAACTGTATGCTGATTTTGAAAATATTATTTGTTTTTAATTAATATATAAATTATAAAAACTATAATTTTTCTTTTCATAAAAAATCCCCGTTTTCTATATATATTTGCAAAAAAGCAACAATTTTAGGAACTTATGTTAACAAAAAACAAGCATTTTATACTGCGTCTTTTGATTACTAGGTAGACATTTTTTTATTACTATTATTTCTTATTTAGGTGTCCCAATACGTCCTCACGGTCTTGTCACAGAGCACCGCTGAAGTGCATTTAACCAGGAAGTTCACGCCTCCTTCCTTACCGTGACGCGAAATATGTCCAAAGCTCGTTTCGAACTTGGATCCACTGCTTATATAAAGCAAGCGCTTTAACCTTTGCGCCACGGCCGCAAATTGTTTAGAATAATTTTTTTTTCTATATAAGGGTTCCTCAAAAAATTTTATTCTTAGAGGAACCTCAAGAACAATTAATGAGAAGTAACAAGAAGTAATGTATATTTTTACTAGAAGACAACAATTCGAAACACAGGCAAACCTTATTTCAAAATTTTTTCGAATCTCTTCACCCTGTTTGTTAGGTCTTTAAAAACCAACTGTCCCCATCGATTTTTACTCAATCAACGTGATTAATCAAGCTAACAAAGGCATTACAAAAATTAACTGAGCTTTAAGCTTTTACACTTGGTTCATTCTTATTCAAAATATCTAACTCTCGAGACGTAGAAAAAGTTATCAAAAGATTTAAGTGGTTTTTTGCTGTGACTAAATTTTCTTTTCTTATTTTGATTAATATAATTTAACCAGCTAAATTTGTTTTGATTGGTCAGCAAGCTTTCAAAGTTAGACAAAAATTGTCTGCTTTGTGAACCTAATTTAAAGAAAACCCCTAATTTGAAAGCTGCTTAGCTTATTTGCAAAAACAAGATTGAAACAGTAATTTGCTTGAGATTTTTCAGAGTTTACAAGTTAAATCACTTTATATTATGAAAAAGTGATGGTTTTTTGCGTTCTGCTAGTTCTAACATTGCATCAAACTTGATCAGTCAAATCAACTCAGCTTTAAATTGATTACCATTATTTTCGAACTCGAACTTTTTTTTAAAAAATTAGAGAAAAAAAGCGGTTTATATAAGAGTTTATATAAAAGATTTTTTATTCAATAAGTTTTAAATTAATAGTTAATATAAGTATAAATAGCTTAATAAACATGTTTTTTTTATGTTTACCTTCTCTTTGGTAACATTTATATCAATAAATAAATTTTAAAATAGACTTTGACTTAAGACATAATCAAAATACGTTACGCATTCTCTCACTTTTTAAGATTATTTTCATAGAGGCTTAACATTTAGAAAAACATTGTAAACGTAGTAAATAAATGAATATTTGTAAACGGCTGCTTCTGAAATATCAAATAAAATTACTTATTTTGCTAAAAAAAGTTTAATCTCAATTTTACTTAACTTCAACCACTCCTTTTTCGTTTTTTATCAATTTTCAAAAGCTGCCTTACAGCTGTCAACAACTTTTTGCGCTAACTAAATTTGGAGAATGTGCAGCACATGGAACAAAATCATTATTTGGATTCTCATTTTTCAGTTGAGCTATTAAGCCGTTCTATCACCCAAACTCGCTAGATGCATTGTCATATGGATGATCACAAGCATTATTAATATTTAAGCCAAGCTTGTCAAAAACTTTCTTGACTGCATCCAACATAGTCTTCATATTATGTCTACAAGATGACTCAAACCCAATAAATCTTTCTTTCACTAAAGTTTTTTTACTCACATGCTGAATGATTATTACAAGTCGACGGCAGTAGTTTTAGGTAATGACTTAACAATCAATAATAGGTATTTAGTACTTGGCCCTATACTCTTTTTAATTTACATTAACGATCTTCCAGATATTCTCACACCTAAGGTGGCATTGTTCGCTGATGATACTACCATTTATTCTTGTCACGATAAGAAGCCAACTCCCTCTGATTGCTTGGAGGGGGCATTTGAGCTTGAAAAGGATCTCACTTCTGCTACAGCATGGGGCTCACAGTGGCTGGTGAACTTTAATTCAGATAAAACTCAATTTTTTTCAGCCAATTGTTATCACAATAATTTAGACCTATATTTATGAACGGTAATGTACTCGATGAGTCTCCTACCCTTCATCTTCTAGGATTAACTCTTACTTCTGATCTTTCTTGGAAACCTTATATCAAATCCGTTGTAAAATTAGTATCTGCTAAAGTCGCTTCTCTTTATCGAGCTCGTCACTTTCTTACTCTGGATTCTATTCTCTATCTCTATAAATCTCAAATCCAGCCTTGTATGGAATACTGTTGCCATATCTGGGATGGATCTTCTAATGATGCCCTTTCTCTTTTAGACAAGGTGCAAAAACGCATTGTAAACATATTTGGACCTGAGATGGACTTCAACTTCACAAAAGCTTCAAGCATTTTATAAATCTTTTCAAAACTTCCAAGTGACACTTTTCTTCCTCGTACAGCAATACATCAATTTTTCCTTATACTGTGGTTATTCCAAAACTGTACTGGACTGTTTCAGTGTGCTCTTTTTTTGATTCAAGGCTCTGTATAGAACACTGTCAATGAGACCAATGATTGAATCTTGTTCTGAAGATATTTTTTTTAAGTTTATTTATTTTAAGAGTCCCAAAAAGTCTTACGGTCTTATTTCAGGGCACCGTGGGAGAGCATTTGAAAAGAAGTTCATGCCTCTTTTCCTCTTTTCTTTTATAGAAGTCCAATAGCTTTGACCTTATTTCAAATCTCTCCTCAACGCTGGGTCAGATTGATATATTGAAAAACTGTACTAAACTGTAATGTCTTTTATTTTGTAATCAATATTTTATTATGTTTGTAAGTATTGTCTCTATCTGTTTAAACATTATGTGTATAATTTTAAATACTCTTCTATAAAGCGTTATTTTTGTCTTGACTACTGCGTAAATATCTTTGTTCAAAAAAAAGTTCTTCTTTATTTAAAAAATCTTCCTTTTTTGCTCAGGCATTCACTGCTCATGTGTAAAATAATTGCGAGTTTTTTACTATAATTATATATTTAATGTTTGTTATTTATAGTCAATTATTTTAACCAATATTTATTATATAATAGTAATTTAACTATCAAATGAAAAAATATTATCGACGTCACATTTCTAAACCTTTATTTCCAATTGTCGCACATTGTCCTAAGTTTTGCCCCTCGACCACTTTTTTATTTTTATGAGAGTGGCTAATTTCATGAATTACCTCTTAAGCATCAAGAAGAACTTCGCTTTAAAAAAATGTTTGTTCATACCAACGAATTTAAATTGAAAAAGTTGTACTTTTCTATGTATTCTCTAGAGAAACAAAAATTTCTTCAAGATGTTCAATTATTGACTATTGTTTATATTAATTTTTTTTTTATTTGTAAAAAAGGTTATATTATTTTATGAAAACCTTATTTATTTTATAAATTTGATATAAATTTTTCATATTTTTTATATCTTTCATATTTTTGATTTAGCGCGTTAAACTTATAACATTTTAAATCAAACTTAAATATTTGAAAAACGTTATACTTCATTTGTTTTAAAATAATGAGTTTTCATTTTAGAACTAATTGTGTCATCAATATTTGGTGTTCAACCTCCTTCTGGAATGTTATTTTTACGTAATAAAGAACTTTGTGAAATTCATAGTTATTTTATCGAATTACAAGATGAAAAAAAAGCAACCTTAGTATTGTATGGAATGTCTGGTGTCGGAAAAACACAACTTGCCAGAAAATATTGTAAAACTTATCATAACTTTTATGAAAATTTTGTGTGGATAGATGCAGCGTTTGGAAATTTACAAACTTCGCTGTATAATATTTTGCAAAAACTAGGATTTATAGTTCAAAACTCAAAAGGTGATTATATCGCCATAGAAGTAGTTGTTGAAAAGGTTCACAACTATTATAAAAATGAAAAGACTTTGTATATTTTTGACAATGTCGACGATGAAAGTGTTCGATATTTGGAAATGTACATTTCAAAGAAACCGAATGCATTTACCTTAATTACCTCTCAATGGAGAACGTGGTCAAATAATGTAAATAAAATGTTTATCGATGTTTTTTCTTCTGAAGAAGCTTTTGCTTATGTAAAAAACAATATTAAAGAAAACACCGACGAAAACATAAGAAAACTAATTAAAGAACTTGGTTATCATCCGTTTGCTATTAATCAGGCAATAAAATATATAAATATACATAATATTTTGATAGAAAAATATATTGAACGATATAAATCAAAACCTTTAGAAATACTAGACGATGATAATTTTCCGACCGAAGAAGAATCAAAGTCTGCTATTAAAGCCATCAATCTAGTTTTAATAAAAATGGAAAAAACAAAAACTTTTCCATTACAAATAATAAATTTTTTATCTCATTGCGATGGTAAACACATAAGTAAAGAATTTATAATCCAAATTTCAAAACATATAGCATTAAACGAAGAATACTTGGTAGATGAAGCCATTAGATTACTAATGAGTTACTCCTTACTAGATTGTTTTGATAATGAAAAATATACAATGCACGATCTGACACAACTGTCGTGTAGATATTTTCAAATTAAAAATTCAAATACAAATATGTATCTTGATCTAATAGAAAATTATTTTAAATTTGAATTAAACGAAGTAAAAGTTCACGTTGGTTGTGGAAACCATTTTGTGTATCATTTTCTTCATATGTTTCGTATTAACAGAAAAAGAATGTCAAAAACCTTTCATAGTATGACAACTTCTATTAAAAAAATTTTATTCTGCAATTGTTTGTTTCTTGAAGCACTTGAAATATTAAAAGCTGTTCAAAGTTTTAATGCAGAAACCTATGGAGTAAATAATAATTTCACCCTTGATACAAATCTTAATATTGCAAGCTGTTTGTATGAAATGGGAAAATATAACGAAACTTTAGAAATATATTATTCTGTTGATAAAATACGAACTGAATTTTTAGGTATCAACCATCCATTTACATTGACAACAAAACATAATATCGCAGAATGTTTGTGCCAAATGGGAAAATATAACGAAGCTTTAGAAATTTATTATTCTGTTGATAAAATAAGAACTAATATTTTGGGTATCGACCATCCAGATACAATGACAACAAAAAATAATATTGCAGTCTGTTACCACAATATGGGAAAATATAACGAGGCTTTAAAAAAATATTATTTTGTTGATAAAAGACAAACTGAAATTTTAGGTACCAGCCATCCATCGACAATGACAACAAAAAATAATATCGCAGAATGTTTGCGCGAAATGAGAAAATATAACGAAGCTTTAGAAATTTATTGTTCTATCGATAAAATACAAGCTGTAACTATAAGTAACAACCATCCATCAAGACTGATAACAAAAAATAATATCGCATTATGTTTAGACAATATGGGAAAATATAATGAAGCTTTAGAAGTTTATTATTCTGTTAATAAAATGCAAACTGAAATTTTAGGTATCAACCATCCATCTACATTGACAACAAAAAGTAATATCGCACTTTGTTTATACAATATGGGAAAATATAACGAAGCTTTAGAAATTAATTATTCTGTTGATAAAATACGATGTGAAATTTTTGGTATCAACCATCCATCTACAATGACAACAAAAAATAATATTGCAGAATGTCTTCGCAAAATGGGAAAATATAACGAAGCTTTGGAAATTAATTATTCTGTTGTTAAAATAAGAAGTGAAATTTTAGGTATCAACCATCCATATACATTGACAACAAAAAGTAATATCGCATTATGTTTATACAATATGGGAAAATATAACGAAGCTTTAGAAATTAATTATTCTGTTGATAAAATACGATGTGAAATTTTTGGTATCAACCATCCATATACAATGAGAACAAAAAACAATATTGCAGAGTGTCTTTGCAAAATGGAAAAATACAACGAAGCTTTGAAAATTTTTTATTCTGTTGATAAAATACAAACTGAAACTTTCGGTAGCAACCATCCTTATACAATAAGAACAAAAAATAATATCGCAAACTGTTTAAGAAAATTAAATCATTTTAATCAACAAGTTGATTAAATATTTTACTTCTTTAATTTGCAAATATTGATAATAAATTAATGTGTTTCTCTAATAGTACTAGAACGCGGTAAACATTGAATATATTTATTATATAAAAGTTTTACGTTATTATACTTACAATTGAGTCATCTTAATAATATCTTGAAATTGTTTTAGAAAACTGTTCATTAAGCGAAAAGTAATTTACTTATCACTTTTAATTAAAGTTTACTTTATGTACTATTGTTTGTGAATCGAAGGATGATATTAATTTATGATTTTAATGAAGTTTTATTTTTCGAATGAAAATACTTTGTTCTTAACTAAAAAATAGTTTGTGTAACTAATTTTAGAAATTTGTCAATTTTTAATGGCAGAAGTTATGTTAGTGTATTCTACAAATAAAGTGCTCAATGCTCTTAAAGAACATATCAATATTGACCTGCTGAAGGTATAACAAACTGTAGAAGATATTTAGATAAGTCTTTTTACTAATTTATATTATACATGTTTCGTAAAATTTATTTACATTTTCAAAAGATTATTTTACAATAATAAAACTCTGAAATAAATATTAAAAAATAGAAGTCTTTACAGAGATATAATAACGGACAAAAGTTTACATAATAAACCAATATATTTATTAAAAATAACTCGGTAAATAACCAATCAAAATAACTTAATGTCGAAAAAGCCTTTTTAGATGTAATTATTAAAAAATCCAATTTTCGACTTTATTTTATCACAAAAAAACGTATACAGGTCTTTTACAAAGTTTTAAGTTTTATTCCTTCTTGCTACAAACTTGGACTTGTTTGTTGTTTGATTGATCGTACAATTAAAATTAATAATACTCGGATTCGTTTTTACAAAAATATGAAGAATCTATCATTAGTTTTATAAAATAATAAATTTCCACAAAAAATTATTGACTCTGAAATTCAATCCTATATTGATAAGAAAATGAACCCATCTGTTTTCTAACATAGTTAATAGCTTAAATATAAGATACTTTAGGCTTCCATACATTGGAATCTACTCTAATTATACTAAAATGAAAATTTCAAATATTGTTTATAAATATTGTAAGGATGTTCTAATAAAATTAATTTTCACTACTAATAAAATACAAGATTGTTTTTGCTTATAAGATTCACTTCCTAAACTGCTTAAATCTCATGTTGTCTATAAATTTTCTTGCGCTGGCTGTAATACCAGTTACATTGGAGAAACCTCCAGACATTTGGCAACTAGAATAAATAAGCACCTTAAAAGTGATAAATTATCTCATATATTTAAACACTTAAATTTATCTGTTAACTGCAAAAATCTGGCTAACTGTGATTCTTTTGAGATTTTGGATAATGCCCCAACCAAACACAAATCAAAGATAAAAGAAGCCCTCCACATAAATGGGAAAGTCCCTCACTTAACAAACAAAATAATCTTTTGAAAATGTAAATAAATTTTAAAAAACATGTCAAGAATAAAAAATATCGTGTTATTTTAAAAAATTATATATATATATATATATATATTATTGAGAACATTTAATTCGAATATATATTTATTTTTATTTTATCTTTATTATACCTATTGTTTCCAAAAAAAAGGTATTTTTGATCAGGTGGCTGAAAGGGTGGGGGGTGAAAAGCTAATGAAGAGACAGTGAGGTATTTATACTTTCCAAATCGCACAGTAAGAGCTAAGCTATGTTTATCCACTATACTCTCTACTCAATCTTTTGAAAAAAAAATTTAAAAAAAAATCTGGTAAGTATAATTTAGTGTATTTGAAAGATTTTAATTGTATTGAAAAAAATCAAGATTTTACTAAAAATATAGTTTACAACGACTGCTGTAGAGATAATTACAAGCAAAATCAAAATTTCAATAATTTTTACATATTTACATATCACTAGAAGTTATATATGTGATATTGAAACGGACTGAAGAAAAGAAAGTTCAAAGTTATTTCTTGTCATTTATGTCATCCATTTCTTTGAAATGGATGACTTAGCGCCAAACCGGCCTATACAACGAATATATTTAAATGAGATAATAGAAGACAAAGTTTAAAACTATTTAATAGTAAAACATTTGTTGTTTCTGAAACAGTTTTTTTAATTTCTATTTTTTTTACTGAATAGATAAATGTTATATAGTTTATACAATTAATTTAAAAAGCATTTATTTATTTATTAAGAAGAAAACAGGTAATTAAAATTATAGGGGTTTCTGGCTTTTTTCGAAAAATACAAACTCTTTTTTTATATGAGGTATAGGCACAAATGATGACATTTTTTAAGTTGAATTAAATTTTAGAATTTCCAAGTCCAAGTTATTGTCTGTGAATTTTTCCAAATATTACTATTTTTCTTAAGTCTCCTTTTGTTAAAAGAGTTAAACAAATGGGTCACATGGATGGCAAATTCTTTGTCTCTTTCTTCATTGACAGTTTCATAAAACCCTCGGTAGATCTCATTATATAGAATATTGTCTTTATCATTAGGCACATCAATGGATTCTTGTGGTGACTTTGGGTTTTTTTACAATGTTTTGACAAAGTTGATTCCATTGCAGGAATGCTTAGCACGCCTCGAAGTTTAGAGTTTCTTTCGAACTCATTGTCATAGATTTCGCGCAACGACTCTGTTGTTGTTTCAGCTTTTCGCTTCATTTCTGTTTTCGAATTTGAAAGATTTTCTTTTATTGCGATTCGCATCACAATAGTTTCAACTGTTGGGTAAAAAGAATTATTCTGAATGAAACCACGACCAACACACCTAAAAACTGAATGTCTTGCATATCTATATCTGAGAATTGTTTTTAGGTCGTAAGATTTTTCTTTTGTGTATGCTCTGTTGGCGGCCCAATACTAATCACTGTTATTCCGTGCACCTTCAGTAATTATAAAATTAATTTTTATTTGTAACCTTTTGTTGAAAAACTTTATTGCTTGAAACTAAAGAAGTTTAACAAACTTAAAAGAGCGTTTCAATTTATCATAGTTTAATTAACAATTTAATACTAATACGCAAACATTAACCACAAACTTGTGGTTTATTATCAGGCGTGACATGAGTATTTCTGCTGGCAATAAAGAGGTTTCAATGATTGAAATTATAGTAAAAATTAATAAAAATATACTTTTATGTTATTATTATTACCCACCTTCAGGCATAATTGAACATTAACCAACGTTGGTCAGTATCAACTTTGCAGACTTAGAAAGAATTATGTCAATTGTTATTGCTTCAGTTTCTTCTTTTATAAAGATTTATGTTTCATGAAAATTTTACCATGTACTTCAAGTATTTTAAGGTTTACTACTAGTTTAAAATGAAAGTTTCAGGATTATGAGTATTTGCGTGTATGCTTTTTAAAAATATATATCTTTGCTATACTCAATAATTTACTATAGTATTTAAATTTTGTCTTTTTGTAATGTTTTTTTTCTTTTACAATTGCATTTGTAAATAATTGTTTGCATTGCCTTTACATTATTTCTTGACGATATGACAATTTATCTTCTTCTTGTCCCTGCTATTTGTAGTTACATATGCCATTTTTAATAAATATTTTTTTATTATCTGATTAAAAAACAAATTATTTTTAAGACTTTATCTTGAATGTAAATGTTATACAATTTTTATTTATTTGTTGCTTAACATTAAAAAAAAAAAAATTTATTTTATTTTTCATAAAATTTATTTCATAAAAATAATATTTATTATTAGGTATAAATATATAAAACAGTATAAAAAAATGTTTACAAATATCTTAACTTGCAACGTTTGACTGGCTACACATCAGTGTTGTCGGTGTTTAATCGAGAAATGCATTCAGAAGGTTTTATGAAGTAAGCTTATGTTTACTCTACATTATTGTGTTATTAGAATATTTAAACACACTAAATATTACTTTTTATTTCATTTGGCTGAGGTAAGCAGGCTTTGTGAGAAAAAAAATAGCTTGAAAGTGTTTGAAGTTTCAAGTTTTATCTTTTTATTATTAGATCTTCATAATTGTGTATATTAGTTATTATTTTTACATTTATATTTTTGTTTTGTTTTCTGTTTTACTTCGTATTTATGAATTTCAAAGTTATGTTCATTAAATTTTAAATTTGCCTGGATTTTATTCTGCATTTTTTTTTTTTTTTTTGTATACTTGTATTGTAACCTCATTAAATATTTTTATGAAGGAGAAATATTTTACTTAATTACATATTATTAACTTATTGTTAACTTATTATTAAGTTGATAAACAAGTTTATTATTGATTACAACAGTTTTATTATTGAAAGACCTTCAGTAATGTAAAGACTGGTGCTACTGTGAATAAAATGTATAAACAGCTACAAAAAAGTATTTTAGGAATTATAATTAGTATATTCAAACAGCTTTTTGTTAAATTATATAAGTAATGAACTAAAGTATTCACAAGTTTTCTATTTTTACAGATTTAAATGTTTTATATTATTAATTTTTCATACAAATGTTGGTGTATATTTTAAAAAATTGTGTTTTTCTTATTTATGTTTATTAATATCCGTTTATATGCTGCATGTTCAAAAATCAAAACAGTTGTAGTTTGTTTTTCAAAGTTGATAAACATCTGATTACAGTGTGTGTAGATTTATAAAATACAATTTACAAATTGAATAAAAATAGAACATGTATGGTAAATTGATAGGACAGTAGTAATTTTTTATTTTTGCTTTTTAGGTATTGGCAGGCTGTACTTGACAACTTACTTTTTTGCAATGAAATCAAAAGAACCTTCAACTACAAACCAATTAAAATAATTTAAAGCAGCATTTTTTTAGAAGAATTTTCCCTTTATTTTATTTACTAATTTACTAATTTTAGATTACTTGTGTTTCATAATTTCTTTAAATTATTTTTGGAGATTTTTGGATTTAAATTTTGGTGTTTTACAAAATTTTAAGTTTAGAAAATTATTTTACAAATAGATTTTTAGTTTGTTAATAATTAATCTTATTCAGAAGTACAATTATAATTGGAATGTCCAATTTTTGTAATATTATTTCTGCAAACATCAATTTGATATTATGTATCAATGTGAAAGTATAATCTCAAGATAAAATTTAAAA